CAGAAAAAGCCAAATGAAATTCAGAAAAACACAATTGTGTTTCAGAATAAATCAAATTATTTTCAGAAAAACGCAAATGTATTTCAGAAAAACGCAAATGTATCATTTGACTTTTTCTGAAATACAATCGGCGCATATTCATAGTCATCTTTAGTACTCAACTAAGTCGAAACTATTCTAAGTCAGTTTCGACTTTTCTGGCTAAGTACCAACTTAAAATTTAGTTTCGGCTGCAGCTGCAACTAGGTCGGAACTAGGAAGAAGTGTTTTATCAAATCAAGAGAAAACAGACGAAAAAATGTAAAAATTAAGTTGGTAGAGGGTGATTTTGATAATATTGAATAATCTCCAATTAAAATTTGCAAAGATCGATCAATTTTAATCGGAAAATGAAATTCAATGCGTATTACAATTCGAATAAAGCTACATCACAATTTTATAATTGGAATAATTTAGACAAATTCTCAAATAATAAGTCAGTTTCAAGCTAGTTCTTTTAAAGTAAATTTGTGCATGACATTTAGAGTCACAACTAAAGCTATTCATAGTCGCCTTAGTTTCGACTTTTCTGGCTAAGTACCAACTTAAAATTTAGTTTCGGCTGCAGCTGCAACTAAGTCGTAACTAGGAAGAAGTATTTTATCAAATTAAGGGACAACAGACGAAATATGTAAAAATTAAGTTGGTAGAGGATGATTTTGATAATATTGCATAATCTCCAATTAACATTTACAAAGATCGATCCATTTTATTCGGAAGATGAAATTAAATGCGTATTACAATTCGAATAAAGCTAAATCACAAATTTATAATTGGAATAATTTAGATAAATTCTCAAATAATAAGTCAGTTTCACGCTAGTTCTTTTAAAGTAAAATTGTGCATAACATTTAGATATCTACTATTTGTATGTTTCACAGCATGCTTTCGATAAACATCGACTTCACATCACTGCGGTTGTTCTGGCTATTTCACACAATTAACAAGAAAATGATACTTTATTCTTTTGCATAATCATTCAAAATTACATAAACGGATGATCAAACTTGACATTATTTAATAAAAATGTAATTTTTCCAAAATATCGTAAACAAAAATCGATACATTTTCACACTCGTTTTGCTATGTCGTAAACTAAGTCGAAACTACTTAGTAGAAGTCTGAAATGCGACTATGAATAGAGGTCAATTTTAAGTTGGTGCGTAAATTTAAGTTGCAACTTTTTTAGTTTCGACTTAGTTGCTGGACTATGAATACGCGCCAATCAAATTTATTTGCGTATATATGTTAATTCTATTTATTGAAGCAACCACGCGGAAAAGCTTGTGTTAATTATATTGATAACAGAACTTTTCAGCTCGCACGTTGCCTAAATTCTCAAGTAACATCAAATCCACAAATGAATAAATTGCTTGTATTACCATCAAGATCGCCATGTACAAACTTTAACAACATAAAAAAATAGAGCTTTCGCACGAGCGTTTGTTTGGTTTTTTAACTCCATTTAAAATTTTATTTTAATAAAATCACGATTTGTCAAATGCTTAAATATATTTATCTAGTAATAATGCAGCACACAACCCTTAAATCTAAAAAAACGGTCTGAGGAAGGCCATTAAATAGCAGCACACAACCCAGTGCCTTTCTCAAGGGTGAATATAGCTACAACAACAACGACTACTACAACAACAACCCAGAAAGGTTGCCTGCTGTCTATATTGTGATTGACAATCAGCTGTCAAGATTGTTTTGACAAGTTTTTTGTTCATGGACATTAGTTTGGTGGAACATGTAAGTGTTTTTCGTTTGTTAAATTATAAGTAATTATATGGAAAGAAGGCAAAAAGATGCAATAGTTCAGTTAATTGCGAAATTGGCTTCCAGTAATAGGCAGTTGGAAGATATCCGAAAAAGGCGGCTACTGAGATTGAAAAAAATTATGGCAGCAATACGCATGCGAAATTCATTATTATATTTTATAATAAGCGTCTGTGGACACACGTAAGCAATTATAGCAGCTATTTTTTATTAGTGAATATAATAATCAACGCGTTTATGTGTATTGTAGGCGAGACATGGCAAGTTCTGGGAGCTGGACATTCCTGCCAACAGAGACCAATTTTTTAAGGAGTGCTTTAGAATGAGCCGCGATTTTTACGCATTGCAAAAAGCGACACAACTTTTAGGAAATGCATCCCTTTAGACAAGCGTGTCGCGATTGCTTTATATGCGCTTGGTTCCTCAGTTGAATACAGGACGATCGGCCGGCTGGGGTATCAAAAAGAAGCGTATGTAATATTTTAATAGACTTTTGTTCTGCGGTCTGGGACAAGCTCGCTCCTAAGTATTTACCCCAGCACATTCCTTACCCAAGAAAACTTTGAAGAGTGTGTTAAGGGATTTGAGAAAATTGGATTGGAAATTGGATTGGATTTGATTTCGAGTTTACGAGGTGTGCATAGGGCAGTGCTTAACGCTTCTGACTTGCACTCGATGACGCAGGTTCGATCCCTGCTGAAGTCTAGAAAAAAGAAGTCTGATAAGGAGATGTGGTCATCTCCGAAATAGCTGCTATAACTTCTACCGCTTAGACTTTGTTGCTTTTTCAAAGTTTCCTAATAAACAACCGTGGTACAAAGATCAATAAAAATATTAAAAATAATTGAATTTGGTTGAATAAGGAAAATGAATTAGCAGCAAGAGTTTACGGGATGTACATAGCTGAGTGGTTAACGCTTCTGACTTTGAACATCGATTACGCAGGTCTGCTGCTGAAGTCTAGAAAAAAGAATTCTGATGAGGAGATGTGGTGTTCTCCGAAGTAGCTACTATAACTTCTACCGCTTAGACTTTGTTGCTTTTTCAATTTTTCCTAATAAACAATCGTGGTACAAAGCTCAATAAGAATATTAAAAATAAAATGTTAATAAGCCACAATAACAATGACAAATACATAGTTTAGAAAGAGCCTGCCTGAAACTATACAAAAAAGCAAATAAGCATATGGATGTATAGAATTGACAACAACAACCACGCTGTCGAATTTGAGTTTGAGTTTGATAGAAGTTGGTTGAATAAGGAAAATGAATTACCAACAAGAGTTTAAGGGATGTACATAGCTCAGTGGTTAACGCTTCTGACTTTGAACATCGATTACGCAGGTTCGATCCCTGCTGAAGTCTAGAGAAAATGAGTCTGATGAGGAGATGTGGTGATCTCCGAAATAGCTGCTATAACTTCTACTGCTTAGACTTTGTTGCTTTTTCATTTTTTCCTAATAAACAATCGTGGTACAAAGCTCAATAAAAATATTAAAAATAAAATAAAATAACTCATTTACTTACATATCGACTGCTGAATGGAAGATCGACCTATCTCGGCAGCCAGTTCGAAAACGCCCTATCTCAAAAAACTTTTCAAGAACGCCCTATTTCAGAATTTTATTGAAAAACACTCGATCTCGGAATTTGGTTGAAGAACGCTCTATTTTAGAAACCGATTCAAAAATGCCCTATCTTACTTCAAAATGTATTGAAAACTTGCTGATATAGGGCGTTTTTGAATCGGCAGCTGAGATAGCGCGTTTTTGAAACGAATTCTGATATAGGGCCTTCTTCAACCAAATTCTGAAATAGGACGTTTTGAAAAGTTTTTTAAGATACGGCGTTTTTGAACTGGCTGCCGAGAGAGGTCCATCTTCCACTCACCAGTCGATATTTACTTCTATCTTCCCATGCAGGTACATACAGTCACTTACAAAACTGAGTATACAGTGGTTTTCCTTTTAAATACCTATTAACAGTGCTTTTCGTTTTCAATATTTTTATTTATTCGGGCATGTGCTGCAAATCGTACGATTTGAAATCGGTGCGATTTACAAAATTTATTTTAAAGAATTCTTAACAAAACAGAAAAAAAATCCCGCTAAATCGAAGAATATTACGTCCTTTCGCGTTTCTATCAGTTTTTGTTGGAAATATTTATTACTTTCATTAGTTATAATAAAAAATATTTTGCAAATCGCATCGATTTCAAATCGTACGATTTCATTTGCTTTTCATTTAATTTACTTTTCAAAATTTCATTTACTTTTGTTCTATAAACATTCACATTTTCAAAACTTAATTTTTCGTAATTTCATACATTTTTTATTTTATTTTAATTTTTTGACAAATTTATTGTTTAAATATACAGCCTTGGCCAAGAGTATTGGGCACTAGAGTCCTGCACGATTATGTTACTATCGTATGAGTACGTTAATAACTACAGGCTAACCTAATATTCGCGGCTTGCGTTTTGGTACGCATGCCGTCGAATTTGTTTTTTTGCGTCACCCGAAATTGACTTGCATGCGTTTGCATTTGATTTCATTGAGCGAAACGTCAAATCAAAATGTCACGCAGAACAAAAATTGGAAATTGAGTTAGCTTCATACGCACGCCGTTCAATTTCGGTTGATCTCATACAAGTTGCATGTGCATGAGACATTTTTGACAATAAATTGGCGGCATGCGTGAATATTAGGTTAGCCTGTAACACTTCTGACGATTACCACGATGCCAAAATAGCGAAGTTACTCGGCACCGCCGCATCTTCGCATCGTACGATTTAGAGCTGTCAAACTATCGACGATACTATCGATAGTCTGGTCACATGAAATAACTATCGATAGTTTTAGTACTATCGCCACTATCGTTTAATTGATAGCGTATTCTCTTTCCTAGCGCTTTTGACATTCGCACGAATTAGTTGAAACTTGGCAGCGTTATTTCTAAAAGCGCAATTTTTGATTTTAAGCGTGAAAATGGCTGAGGATACATTGCCGTCTAAAAAACCAAAAACTTCCGAAGTGTGGAATTTCTTTAAAAAAACAAGCGACAAAAAAATTTGAAAAATGTAACTATTGTGGCAAAGAATACCGCACTAGTAATACCACAAATTTAAAAGACCACATTTCTAGATGCTCCTCTATCGCTTGTTCAAGCAGCACTGCTTCATCAACTTCAGAATCGTCAACCACTTGCAGCAGTGGTTCAGTGCAAAGGTTGGTTGGTCAAAGTTTGACGTGAATAAATAAAATATATGTAATTGAAGAACTCTTGTTTACATTTGTTAGTGCATATTTCACTATCGAATTTAAATATGATTCGAACTCCGAGCGCAAAAAAAAATTGATGCCGCACTGGCTGAGTTTGTGTGTGTAGATTTGCAACCAATATGCATAGTAAATGATGCGGGTTTCAAAAATCTTTTAAAAGTGTTGGACCCTAGGTATGAAATACCAAGCAAAAATTATTTAAAAGACAAACTCATTTTCGAAAAATACGAATGTATTAAGGCGTGCTTAAAATTGAAATTGGAAAAAATTTAATATCTGGCCATAACTTGCGATATGTGGACATCCCGCTCAGGTGATGCATACCTACTGGTCATTATGTGGATGCAGAATTTGATCTGAAGACTATTGTTCTTTCAACAAGACTCTTAGTAAACGAAGAAAATCACACAGCAGAAAATATTGCAAAAACGCTTGATGAAGTATTCACTGAATGGTCCATCAGCAACAAAATCATTTGCCTAGTTACCGACAACACCAGAAATATGATCAAAGCATGTGAAATTTTAAGAAAAAGGCACTTATCTTGTATAGCTCATTCCTTAAACTTGATTGTGCAAGATTGTTTGAGACTAGACGAAGTAAAAGGAGTGATTACAAAATGCAAAGAAATTGTAACTTTTTTTTAAAAGTAGCTCGACTGCCATGGCGAAATTCAAAGCTGAGCAAAGTTCAAATAGGCCGCTTAAATTGGTACAAGAGGTATGCAATAGATTGAACAGCTGTTTATCAATGATAAAAAGGGTGCTATTATTGAAGGATGATTTAAATAAATGCCTTTTAAATATACCAAAGCACCCAAACCATTGGAAAGCGGTGATGCACGCCTTCTAAACGAGCTTGTTAATATTCTTGATCCTTTTGACGAAGCTACCTTGCATTTTTCTAGCAGTAAGAGCGTTACTTCTTCTTCAATAATTCCTATTATTTATGGTTTAATTGAAACATTAAAATTAATTGAACAACAAGGGATTTCAAGTGAAGGAATAGCTTTTTTGTCGGCAATTGTTTGTTCTACTGAAAAACGCCTTTTTTTATACGAGGAAAGAACGTTAATTCGCGTATCAACGATCTTGGATCCAAGGTTCAAGAAAGAAGGTTGTAGAAGCGAATTTAATGCAAATGAGGCGAGCAAGGCTTTAGAAAGGGAAATGTTGTTGACAGCACTAAAATTTAAATCTTCTGCGACTGTTGGTCCCAGCACACCGGAGATACAAGCAAAACTTCTCTTTTCCTTTCTAGTAAGTTGGATCAAAAACAGAGAACAACAAAAGTCGATGTAATCCTGAAGAAGAGGCAGTACTTGGAGCAAGTCAACTCAGAGCCAAACACAAACCCGCTACTGTATTGGAAGGTAGATACTGGAAATCCTATAATACAATATACATATGTATTACACATATAATATATGTATATATTCTAAACCATTATTTTCACTTCAGGTGTTACGAAATCAGCTTGAGCCTCTTCCTGATTTGGCAAAAAAGTTTTTTTGTATCCTGGCATCATCTGTAGAGTCTGAAGGCACTTTCAGTGAAGCGGGCTTAATTGCTGTTGCAAAAAAATAAAATTATGTGAAATATTTTTCCTTTTTAATCAAGTGCGGGCAAGAAATATCATTTTTAACGCATTTATTGATATGAAATATTAATTTATCTGTCGTTAGTATGTTAATTTAGTGGCCCAAGCATTCGCTGCCAAGCGTTCATTGTAGCAAGCATACTTTAAACGTGCGTTCTGTCAAACCAACGCCAACGCCAAAGCCAACGCGAAAGTTCTATGTGGACCGGCCTTAATTCTGCTAATAAATTAGCATCGCCAATAGCAGTGTGACCAGATAATCCCAAAACCATATTTACTATACTTGCATAGTGTATCTTTTATTTAGTTCGGCATAAATTAATTCATAAATTCATAGAAATTAAACATATTTAACTATAACATAAAGTAGGAGTTAGAAATAAAAAATATTAATATTAATATTTTATTTCTTGTCTTTCGAATGTAAAAATAAAATGGCATCCAAATTTTCTCCTCTAAGATTTGTTCTTCGTTCTTCCATAACTCGATTTGCCACACTGAAACACCTTTCACTCGCAGGGCTAGATGCTGGAATGCATAATACTTTTCGCGCCAGTTTTGCCACCAAAGAAATCTCATTCTCATGTCGCCGCCACCAATGCAATACATTATTTTCGAAGTGGCAAACGTTTTTGTACATTTTAATTTGTACATTTATTTGGCAAGTTAGTTTGCCATTTAGTTGGCAAGTTTAAAATTAGGCAAGAAAAGTGCTATGTAGAATTGCTGAATTTGGTTGCAAATCTAGCCCATAAAGTTATCTGACCACACTGGTCAATAGCAAGCTGCAACCTAAAACTGGCTACACACGACAAACATCTGTATGTACATAAATATACTTATAGTAATTTAAGGCTCTGTTATGCATACTTGGCATTGCATGCACTGCTATACCATTTTTACGTAGAAATCAAAAACCAACATACTTTTACGTATGTAATGCTGTGCGTTGGGTAACCGCTTACACGCGAAGCTCATTTAACAGATTCCTTATATGACAACTCTCAAGCAATGCCAAGTATGCATAACAGAGCCTTTAGCCTCATTTATCAAAAATCAATTTACAAACATGGCTTTGATTCATTTATCCGCCGATGTGCACACTTCAAGCATCAACACAAAATGAGGTTGTTGTTTTTGTTTCCAATGCGATGCTCGCAAACCACGCTACAAACGACGAGCATGCTCGCTGAAAATCAAAATTTTGATTTTTTGCGAGCATGCTCGTGAACCGCCCTACAAACGACGAACATGCACCGCAAGCCGCGCATGTGCGCGCAGATGTTCGTCGTGTGTAGTCAATTTAAAGCAGTGTCCGCCAAAAAGAGAAGTCTTAAAATGAGAATGTATTAGTTATGAAATAAAAAATGAGAATGTGTTGGTGGTAATTCACGGAAATGCGTCATCAACCTGCTTCGCCTATTGTTTGCAGTGTTGCCAGAACTTTTTGGGCCGACCGGCTAGATTGGCAAAAAAAAAGCGGCTAAAAACGGCTAAAATGTTTTAGTGAAATTTCACATAGACTCTGGCAAAAAACGGCTAAAATGTTTTAGTGAAAATCCACATGCTTTATTTAAATAAATCGCAAGAAACGAAAGACTAGTTAACACCATTAATTTATATCGAGTGTATATTCCTCATCATCAAATGAATCACTATTGTATATATCACCTGAATTCATTAATTTTAAGAAATCGTCATCTACAGTAAAATTATGGCAGCATTTTTCTTCGAGTTTTAAACCGTATCTTATATATAAAATAGCGTTTAACGTTTTAACGCACATTGGATTTCTTTGCTTAGTTTTTATTATATTTATTGAACTAAATATTCGCTCTACTTCTGCATTACTTATAGGCAAAACAAGAAAACTAAAAACTAGGTTGGAAAGGTCAGCAAAAGGGTTTTCTCCTAGGGCATTTCGAAATTGATAAACTTCGGCCCAAAATTTTACAGTTGAGTCTAAATTACTCCAGGTATGTAACGTTAACCGTTGCCATTGCATCTCTATGGATGTTATTTCGTCGGCATTATATTTGTGTTTTTGTTGCTGTAGTTGAACAAATACTTTTGGTTTAATTACTCTTAATGCATTTCCAACCGAAAAAAGTCAATTTTTTTTAGTGTGGCAATATTTGTAGGGAGGCGTTGGCGTAATTCCTTTATTAAAGTGATAATAAAATAGCGACCATTTTCTCGAATTATTTTCTCGGCTTCGTGGTCAAAAGCGTTTGTGCTTACTTTTGTTTTTAAATACTCTTCAAAACTGTGATAAAGCTGAGGAAATGGAGCAAGGTATGGTTCCAACGGGGAGCATATAGGATCAAATGTGTCCGCGCTAATAACCACTAGGGAGCATAGATGCGAAAGTAAAACATTGAGTTCATTAAAAATCTTCATTGGGTCTGCATTATTGCTTTCGAACAACTTGTTTACTTTTTGCACCTGAAAATTAGGCAAATAGTAAAATCGGCTAAACACGGCTAACTTTTTTTACAAACCGGCTACCAAATCGGCTGCCGGCTAGATCGAATTTTCTCCGGCTAGTTGCTATCAAAACCGGCTAAATCTAGCCGGAAAACGGCTAAAATGGCAACGCTGATTGTTTGCATGCAACTAAATAAAATTTGTTGCTCTGCTACTCTTTCTGTTGACGTTCGGATTGTGTACGTGTAATAGCCCGAACACAATGGAAACGACGAGCTACAAACCACAGCTGTCAAATTATTTTAACACGTAC